GGATGCTGATCATTGATACGAAAAGATCAGGTATAGCTAAACACAATGCCCTAACCTGCAACACAATTGATACAATTGACACAATTGAGTAGAACGGAAAGACTGGCCAGACAGTGCATTTAATGTGTAGACTGGAGCAACTGATAAGCGAGATGGGCAGGGGCTAAATGAAAGTCAGAAGCGCTGAGATAACGGTATGTGAAACCATTCTTGAAGGCGATCAGGCTTCACTAAATCCATGTGAAGCAAGACATGCCTATGGGATAATGGAGGAAACGAGAACACAGAATGGAGTAGATGGATAAATGGGCTATATGAAGTGCTGAGAGAAAGGAACGTAGTACTAGAAAGTAACAAAAAATATGGTCGGGACATAATGCCAGAACAATGGGAAAGAAAATTGGTAAAGGGGATTGATTATACGTGTCACTTTAATAATTTGTTACTTTGTGCTGACGATGGGGCTCTCACTGACGATGCCTACTACGAAACGTCTGTGAATGTACCGAGTCACCGGTCTAGTGCTGGAAATTATCATTAATACTATGAGAGAGGACTCAAAACTAGGTACGTTCTATAAGGATTCTCTGTCGCTACAAACAATTTGCGAAAATCAGGCCAAGCCAAATCTGAATCTAATAATATTTATTAGAATAATATATCGAAGTAAATATATATTCATGAGTATGGATCAAATACTTAGATCGTCAAAAAATGTCAAGCCAAGAAAAATTCTTTTAAACCATTGACAAACAAAAAACCATGAGTAAGCTTGCCTCCATTCCTAAATATTCTATTAGGCGCCTAGCAGTTCGGCGGAAAACCGGATCGTAAAGGCGAGCACCAGCTCTATTGAGGCGCGGTTCCTGCTCAATTAGGAGGTCAAGCAGGGCCAGCTGCTTAAGACTGGAGGCTTCAACTGCTGGGTTTCCCAAACCAAGACAAAGGATATCGACTCCAGCAAGAGGAACTGGGGAGCATGGAAGTTGGTCCAAAGCATCAGCAAGCTGAGCAAGAAGACCAGAGATAAAAATAGGACCTAAATGTGCAC